ATGTAGAGATATATGTGTTCGGATTTTCATGAGGTAGCCCGTAAAGTTGGAGAGTGTTGCTCATCAGATTGATCCCCTCTACCCTTATCTGAAAATTATTTACCCCGAAATCTGGATACACAATACTGGAATGCGCAGCGTGGCTATAGGCATCAAGAACATTGAAACTGACAAGTTTCCTTCGTTTATTTCCCCTTGCTCCTACTGTTGATCCGGTGTCGCCGCTACTCTTACTGCCATTTGTTGAATTGGCTGAATATGAATATGAATATTTTGATTGTCATCCATTTAATGTTGTTTATGTTTGTGTTCCTTACGTTTTCGTCTGAAAGTACGTTATATTTTTGAGTCAAACGGTTCAAGATTGTCGCATTGGGTACGGAGCATACAACGAACACTTTTTTTTGTAATAAAAGAAAATAAAATCAAATAATAATTAAAAATAAAATAAATTAAGATTAAAAGTAAATAGTCCCTAACAACGGCGCCAAAAACTTGTTGCGTTTTTTATATCGCAAGTGCACGATATCGTAACAAGCACTAAAATGGATCTTTGAGTCCGGATATCGTTCCCACGAGAACTATACTTCAAGACTTAATCAAATTTTCCTAACTCGTATTTGATAAAAGCAAGTAAATAATTATGATGATTGTGATTATTTTTATTAACTACTTTTAACTAATTGAAAATATAAAAATATTGCAAACAACGGTTGATTTAAGATTTAAATATGTGATGACTATTAGAGCATAACAATTTCATCTATTAATCACCTTAATTCTTAATTCAATATTCATAACCTAATGTAGCGTTCGATCGAATTCTTTTATTGTATTCAATATACTCCTCTTGAGTTCTTATTGAGCCTATTTAACTAATTCAATTCCATATCTCTATATGAATTAACCTTAGTTAAATTACACTAGTTCTAAAAATTCATATTATGATCGCAATAATTAGTATATATATCTCTACAAGTTATACTAATTTACCGAATTTTACTATATAGTCTAAACATCAAATTCATCTCTCGATTCGTAAGAGACTCACATAATCACCAAGTTATTGATCATGTAATTTAATACATTAAACTCATAATAAAACCAACAAATAAATAAATAATTCACATAAATATTGAATAAAAAATAAAGGATCACAAGTCGATTACATTGTTTTTCCTAATATAAAAATTAGTTATTCATACTATAAAAATAAAAACAATCAAAAGTGGAACGATATCACCAAAAATTGACGAAACGTGAGATTTATATTTCTGCTGCCTCCTTTCCTACAAGCCGTGTGCGTGTGTATGTATATTTAACAGTGTTCTAAAAGGCGTAATGCGTTGCGATGCGTCGAGATCGAGAATCAAGAATCACAAGTTTAAGCGTGTCAATGCGGAAAATAGGCTTCATAATATGTTTCGTACTTTTAATATAATTTTAAGTATAATAAATAGATTTTTATATTAAAAAAAACAATTTTTTTAATATAAAAATAAACATACACATTTACTATTAAGTATTAATTA